TTTTGTACCTCAAATATTTGTTCTGGACTTCTTTACACATTAATACCTTTTTCCAGTATTTCATGATGGGAAGTCCTGCAGAGATGTTCCATTACAAACACCACCTACTCCCTCCTTTTAAGACCTAGTGCCAATCTCCTGTATTTTTTCCCATCAATGTACATTATTTTTATCCAAACACACAATGCCCTCTTGAATCCTCAACTGAAAATGCCTCCAGCCCACTTCCAGGTAATGCATTCCATATCCAGCTACAAGTATTTTCTCATATCACCTTTATTTCTTTTGCAGATCACTTTAAACCTATGCCGTCTCATTCTTTATCCATTTATAAGAGGGAACAGTATCTCCTAATCTACTTTATCCAGCCCACTTGTACACGTGATTACCCAATCAACACTCACATCAGACACCACACACTTTTACCAAGTTTTAAGATTTGGAATATGATATGTGGAGAAGATTGAAAGCAGAATTTTTTTTTTAGCTAAAGTTCCAGGTTGTGTACAGAGAATATTCAGTGAGACGTAACAAAACTGGTCCAAGTTAATTCTACAGAATATTTTTCCTTAACCAAACAACAAAATCTGCATTGGTATGAAAGCTATTTATACAACCCATATGTTAATCACTCTAAATCTTCAAATGGACAGTTTTAATTATTTCATCCAGTTATAATTCAATAAGAAAAAATAAACAAGGCAAATAGTTAAGAATGCAGTGAATGAAATTCCACTTATTGAGGGATCATACAGCATAATTTATTTAAAAAGTCTGTACTCACTCTGTGGAATTAGAACGTGGTCTAAATTTTCTTCCTTTATTTTTCTTTCGATTGGCTCCTAAATTCCCTGAATAAAATAAATCAGGAAAAATCAGAGATGTTTCTGTAAATATGTGAATACAGCAAGATTAGTAAAGACAAATGTAGATCTCTTACTTACAGTCAGATATAGGAGAAATTATAATGGGAAGCAAAGAAATGGCTCATAATTTGGTTATGTTTTCAGAAAAGAGGACACAAATAATTTCCAAGAAATATTAGGGTATAAGAAGAGGGAGGTATGAAAGAAAATTAGTATTAGTATAAAAATTGTGCTAGAGAAATTAATAGGATTAAAGGCTGACAAATCACCAAGGCCTGGTAATATACATCCCAAAGTACTCAATACTGGATGTACGGAGCAAAAGAACATAGAAACAGGAATAGGTCATTTAGCTCCTCAAACCTGTTCATCACTGATTTGTGGCCTAACTCCATATATCTGCCTTTGGCCCATATCCTTAATACCTTTGCTGAACAATGTATCTACCTCAGGGGAGGCAATGGCCTAGTGGTATTATCACAAGACCTATTAATCCAGAGGTCCAGGTAATGGACATGGGTTCAAATTCTCTTCATGGCAGATGGTGGTATTTGAATTTAATAAAAAAAAAATCTGGAATTAAGAGTGTAATAATGATCACAACACCATTGTTGATTGTTGGGAAAAACCCACCTGGTTCACTAATGTACTTTGTCATATAATCTGTCATATCTGGTCTGGCCTACATGTAAATCCAGACTCAAAGCAATGCAGTTGACTCTTAGAGATAGTAAGAACTGCAGATGTTGGAGTCAGAGGTAACACAGTGTGGAGCTGGAGGAACACAGCAGGCCAGGCAGCATCAGAGGAGCAGGAAAGTTGATGTTTCAGAAATGGTTTCAGAAGGGTTTGGACCCAAAACGTCAGCTTTCCTGCTCCTCTGATGCTGCCTGGCCTGTTGTGTTCCTCCAGCCCTACACAGTGTTATAGTTGAATCTTAATTGCCTCTGGGGATGGGCTGGCCTAGCCAGTGATGCCCACATCCAATGAATGAATAGTAAAAAAAAATTAACAACTGAATCCACCAGAATCCACTGCCATTTGTAGAAGAGAGTTCCAAACATCTATCACACTCTGTGTGTAGAAGTGTGTATTGGTGGTCTTCTGCTAAAATTCTACAGACTTTGGAGCAGTTCCTGCAGGTTGGAGGGTGGCAAATGTAACTCTGCTATTTATAGAAAGAAAAAGGGGGGAGAGAAAACACAGAGAATTACAGACTAGTTAGCCTAACATCAGTAGTGGGGAAAACGTTAGACAATGTTAGACGTGATAACAGATCACTTTGAAAACATTAACGGGATTAGATAAATCAGCATGGGTTTATGAATGAGTACTAAACTACTGGATTTTTTCGAGGATGTAAGTAATAGAATTAAATGAGAGATAACCAGTGGATGTGGTATATTTGGATTTCAGGAAAGCTTTTAATAAGGTTCCACATAACAGACTAGAGGGCAATATTAAAGCACATGGGATTTGGGATAATATACTGGCATGGATTGAGAACTGGTTGACAGACCAGGAAAAGAGAGTGTGAATAAATGAGTCTTTTTCTGCATTGTAGGTGGTGTTCTGTGCTGCAAGGGTCAGTATTTAGTTGCTAGATATTCACGATATAGAAAAATGACTAGGATGAGGCTATCAAATGCAATATTTTCAAGTTTGGTGATGACACTAAATTAGGTAGGACCATGAGTTGTGAGGAAGATACAAGGAGGCATCAGGGTGATGTAGACAAGTTGAATGTGTTGACAAATATATGACACATCCAGTACAATGTAGATAAATGTGAAGTTATATACTTTGGTGTTAGATCAGAAATACAGCATTATTTAAATGGTGTATAGCTGAACAGTCTACTTCTGCTCCTACTTCTTACAGTTATGGTCTTATGGTAATTAAAGGATGATAAGGGGGGCATAGACCTAGAGGGAGAAAGAGAATTATGAGGTTGGGCAATTTAAAATTTAAAACAGGAACCTCCTACAAATAGGTGAAGAGGTAAGCACAAGATCATGAGATTGGAAGAATGAGCAGAAGCTTAGCCAGATCACCCCTGTGGTTCCAGTATTCCTCCATCGGTTAGTAATCTGCCTCAATCTTGAAAGTGAACCACTTGGCTAAGGTATATGCTCAGTTAGTCAGTAAATGGGTCTCCTCAAATGACTGCACCAACTTTCTCATTCTTGGATACTAACTCAGATAACTAAAACATGTGTGATTATCTAAAAAAATGTTTTAAAGGGTAACTCAAGGAGACAAATGCCTATCTCATTTGCTTTAACTCCTCAGTTACTCTGAATTAAATTAAATGATTTTATTTTTCAGCACACACTAAGCTCTCTAATTTACCTAATATTTGAGAACACCATCACGAGTGTGCAGTCATACTATTAAGCAGTAGCTTTGGTTCAGTAGCAACAGTCTCCTCTGTGATTCACAACCCTATGTTGTGTAAAACCCATACCTGAGATTTGAGAATTGACTTAGATTGATGCTTCAGTGCATAGGGAGAGGGTGCTGCATGACTTTTAGATGAGACACTAAAGTAAGGTCCTGACTGCTTGGTGGGTTTAAGAAGTCTCATGACCCAATTTTGAAGAAAACTGGAGGTGTTTTCCCTTGTTTCCTGGCTCATTTGTACTTGGCTGTAAAATGTTTTGTGACCTCCTGAAGACTAGAAAGGTATTGCATAAATACAAACTCTTTCTTTCTTAATAGTACTAGCATCAGTAAAGGGCTGAGATTACCATGAAGGACTGTCCTTCTCAACCTCTTCCCTTGCCTTAGGTGTGGTGACAATCAGGTTAAATCACTTTGAGAGAGCAGCACTATGGTCCTTCAGGACTATGGCGACTTTACCTTTGGTATCTATAAAGAAATATTTGAATGAGATGGACATAGATGTAAAAAAAAAAGAACTGAAATATTTAATTATGAATTTAATCCACAGTATTTTTTAAAATCTTTTCTAGTCCTAAATATAATCTAGATATGTTGCAATAATGGCAATGATATTTGAGGTTGATAATGTAACAGTATTCAATAGGTACAGCTAATTCCATACATGTACATACTATGCAGACTCCAAATTAATAAGTGTTGCATGGGGAAGAGATCAGGTGCATCAGTCTCCAAATACATATCACCACTGCCCAAAGCCACTGATGCACTTAATTGTAAGTTCACTAAGGAAGTGCTACACAGTCAGAGCCTGTGGAACCTTATCCTAAGAAGATTGACTGCTGCATTTTCCTACTCTCTAATAGTGACCAATTCAAACATAAATCCAAAGGCTGTTATGCTCCCAGCTGATGCTATTACTGGACAATTCAGACCCCGGACTGAAATCTGGTTTGAGAGATCATAGTGTGTTTTGTTTTGGTTTTAACAAGGTATTTTTCACTGAGACATAAGCTTGCATTGGCGCAAACCTTGTTTTAACAATAAAACAGAAAATTATTAACCAAAAGAAATGAAGACCAATAAACCAATTTATTTATGTTAAACACATTTAAAGACTTTTAAACACAAGGTAAAAGTAAAATTCCATTAATCCCAAAACATTTCTTTACAGACTCTCAAAACATTCTTTCACGGCTCCCATAAATATACTTGTAAAGTATAGTACCCACTCCAGAGAAAAATTTTTTTCTAATACCTTTTTAGGCTTAAATTGACTGTGACTTCAACACTAAGAATATCTGATAGAATGACAACATACAATGGCTCCACCACAATGTTCAATCCTGCTCCGGCTCACACCGAAAAATGTTCAACTACCACCCTCCCACTCCGGCATTGTTCCCCTACCTCACCAGCAATATAACCCCCCTCTCCTGATAATGTTCACTGGCACCCAACTCATCCTCCACTCCCTTCTCTTCTGGAGACTGTTCACTCCCTCCTGCACAAACCCTCTTTCCTGATTTTGGAATCCTTAGTTCCTGTTGGGCTGATGTTGTAAGCATCAGTGATGTTGGGGAGTGCAGGGGTGTTGTCTGTGGGGCAGGCACATCGTGACCACTGTCATGGAGTACAGGGAACTGAAGGAGGGTGAGCATTTTTAGGATTCAGGGAGCGGTTAGCATTGTTGGGAAGGAGAAGCATTGTTGGTGTGAGTGAGGATGAACATTGTTGGACGGTGGTGAGTATTGCCAGGAGGTGAGTGATGAGGGAGATGGTGAATATTGTCACTGACGTGGATTCTTGTGATATTGGATTTGACAAGTATATTCAAAATCTAAGTAAATGATAATGATGATTCATCTTTAGTAGTTTGGCTTCCATTCCTGACAATAAAGAGGCAGGGCTTCATTGGAATTACACCCGTCACTTGACTTCCTGATTCTGTTTTTTGCTACATAGTACATGGAGAGTTTAAACTGCAGTAAGCAGCAGGCACACCTTCTCCGACACAGACTGGAAGATCCAGGTCATGTTCCTGATTATATTGTAAGTATGTATGTATATATATAAATAAATAACACTAACCCTGCCAGGAGTTACTGCGTGGTCTACCATTTTCACAGACATCTGGAATATGTTTTTCATCTGGAATCCGTTCACTCCATGAATGAGATAGTCCATTTGATCTGAAATATTAAAAGGATATGTGAGGTAATCTTCCATTTATATCTTATGAAATCCGAATGTCCTCTGGCTTCTCCAGCGTAGAGTACTACGGTACCAAAAGAGATGTTGCTGTATCCATTTTAGTTTATTAACATGAAAATTTAAATCAGAAAACTTGCATAAGTTAGCTGTAGGAGCAGCCGTTGGTGAGAGACCTCTTGTGTGCTTACCTTGGTGCATGCAGGCCATTACACTATGGCTGATTCACAAGCAAGGAAAGAGGCCCTGATAGCACATGTGCAAAGTCATGGAGCGCTATGCACATTCACAATTTCCCCTTGTGTGCTCTGCATTATTGTCAGCAAGTGCTCTTTTTTATATATGCAACAGGGCCACGTTGGCCCACATTCATGGCCATTTCAGGGTCTGTACAAAGGTGGAACAAATGTACAGCAGCACTCCTGAGGTAATTGTGCATGTTGCACGTTTTTCCACAAATCACTAAATCCTCTGGAATAAACGATATCCCTCCAGGATGGAGTAACAGCAGATCAATCAGTATAAACTTTCCCAGTATGAAGTGAGTGCCTATACTGTGAGTCCAGATATGCTCATCAATGCACAGGCCTCACTCAATCGGCAATGACTGATACATTCATGCATGGTGTGTACAGGATTGATCAGGAGCAACAAAATGCAAAGTGCTGACCCATGATGGTGGAACACAGAACACTGTTTAGTGAACCCGGTTTGTGACTGGGCATGCTGAGAGTGAGGCCAAAAGAGAAATCCGATAAAACAATCATTTTAAAAAAAAACACAACCTAGTAGTGGCCACAGTCAGTTACTTACTGTTTGTCTATTCTTTGTTTCACTTCACAACATGAGTTGTCTTCTTTCTATTCCGGTTTCTCTTTGGCATCCTAATGCAGTCTGAGCTATCCAGTAGTTAGGGCTCTCTAACCCGCACACAACATTACCAGAAAATTAGATGCTGCAAGTTTCTTTTCAATTAACCACGTGGCTCAATAATTCAGTCTTAAAAAAATTCAAGAGACTTGGAAGATAATGTTACTATCTTCTGTCATTTGCAGGAGGGAAGTGAAACTTAGAAAAGAAGGAGGAGCTGATTAAACTACCAGGATCATTCTCTGTGCAAACTGAAGTGTGTGGTTAAGGCAAAAAAGTCACAAATGCCACTGCTTCACTTGGTCTCACCTCAGCACAGCTATCTATCATGTTGCTATTTCCAAAGAGCAAAAAGGTTTGGCAAGAAATAAAAAAAAAACCTGGCTATTTCAAGTTTCTTTTCACCTTCCTTCAAGCCAAATGCAGGTTTTCTGATGCCTGCATTAAAGTGAATATAGTTCAGAATTGGACACAAGACCATCTTTTGCATTAGCACCCCACACACACAGGGGGAAATTGGGTTAAAATGGTTTAAAGCTCAAGCTTCATATTATGGTTGCTTTACTCTATTTGCTATGTAATTAACTCAATCTGCTTGTTGCTTGTAAAAGAATAGGTTGAAAAAGAAATGCAGACCTTTTCTTAGAACTAGATGCTGAATAGTTTGAGCTGACTCCAGGAGGTATGTCACTATAGAAAGAGTCAGCTTCCCCAGGCTTTTTGACATAGTCTCCTTGTGGCATTTGCCTACAAACAGTGAGAAGGTAGGAAAGAAGAGCCATCAAACCCGGAACAAGTACATCTAGAACCACCATACCTCATAACATTCTATCAAAAGAATTGTGATCAAAATTCAAATTTGGTTGATGTTATGCTGCATGGTATCACAAGCAACATACTCAAAAGCAGTTTATGTGGAAAATGAAAGCTGTAAAGGTAAAGTTGTAAATGAATTAAGTCTGACAAGCTTAAAAGTGAAGCGGTCAATGGGTGTGTTCCCTCATGATCTATCTGGTGCTGGGTAGTCCAATAGTTCTAGAGGAATGTCAGATTCCCAACCAAGTGGGTTGTAAGCTTGCATTCCAATCTTAACTTCATTCAGACTTGTCTTGTTGTAATTTCGGCTACATTTGTCAGCCCTTGCCCATTCTGATTGGTGAAGCACTCACAGAGATGGGCACTGATTATGGTGGGAGTTACTGACATGTCTGCTGCGGTAGACAAAAGAACTACTCTCACAGCTAACCACAGAGTGACACTGAATGCCATCCATGAGAAGCCTGCACACCAAGTTCTCTGCTCCCCCAGTTGGAACCAGACTGTGGCAGGGAAACAAAAGGTGGAAGATGAAGAAAAGGAGGAGAACTAGGCACCAGTACAATGGGGTAAAGCAAAGATGCGTTGGGAAGGTAAGCCTGATGATTAATTATAAACTAACTGTTATAATGAAAGGTTGCAGTCACTTCTAAAAAGGAACATCTTAAAGCACACATTATAACCCAAAAATTAAACAAACATACCTTCTTTCTCGGTAGTTTCTATCAAACATGAAGCAGAGGGAACAAACAAACGAAAAAAGTAACTCAATGCATGTTCATGACAAAAAAATTAACTTATAAACTCAATTGCTAATAATTATATGGTGATAAATTGTCATAATGAATCATTTGATTTCAATCACTATTTTTGATTAATCAATCTTGCATTCTCTTATGTTACACTAAATGATTGCCAAAATTTTGCAATAGATTGCAACTAGTAATTTCATGTCTCTACTTAAAAACCGAAAGCAATGGATTTCCTTCAGAAGGATGAATCTGAATTTGTCTTTAAGGAATTTTGGGAATGAATGACCATCTTGGTTAGATTATCAATTCAAAAGTCAGCATCTCTGAAGCATATTTGCTGATACATGGAGCAGAAACAATATGATCCTATCCATAAACTGGACTACTCTAGTAAGGTGAAGACTTGTCATTTTTATTATTTACTTCAATCTCATGTTGACATCTGTCCTTGGCCTACTGTAGTGTTCCAGTGAAGCTCAATGTATGCTTCAGCAACAACCTTTTGATTAGGCACTTTACAGCATTCTGGATTCAACATCAAGTTCAACGATGTTTGGGCATAAACGTAGCTGTCCTCCAATTTTATTTTTTTCTCCTTTAGATTCTTTGCTTTTTCTACTCTTTGTATTCAGACAACAGCTCATCTGCCACAGCCAAAACACTGATTCTTTGTTTTACTTGCCCCATCAACTTTCCCTTTGACCCAATCAGATTGGTCAAAAGCTCCACGGGGTGGGACCTCCTCTCATCGAGGGATAGAACTGTCAGTCATTCATGGGATGTGAACATTGCTGGCTGGGCTAGCATTTATTTCCCATCCCTTATTGCCCTTGACAAGGTGGTGAACTGTCTTCTTGAACCACTACCATCCATTTGGTGTAGGTACAGCCAGAGAACTATTAGGGTGCGACAGTGAAGAAACAGCGATATATTTCAAAGGCTGAGGAGCGTGGCTTAAATGGGAGCTTGCAGATGTATTCTCATGCATCTGGTGGCCTTGTTCTTCTGGATTGTACATTTGGTGAGTAGAATTTGGTTGGTGCTGTCAAAGAGCTTTGCTGCAGTGTATCTTGCGTGTGGTACACATTTTTGCCACAGTATGACAGTGGTGAAGGAGTGCGTGTGTAAGTTGCTAGGTAGTATGCAGATCAAGCAGATTGCTTTGTTTTAGACAGTGTCAAACCTTTTGAATGTGGTTGAAGTCATACTCATCTAGCCATGTGGATGATATTCCATCAAAATCCTGGTTTGTAAATGTTGGGAGACTTTGAGGACATAGCAGGTGAGTTGCTTGCCTCAGAATACCCAGTCTTGCAGCCAGAGCATTTATATAGAGGCATAGTCATAGAGTCATATAGCATGGAAACAGACCCTTTGGTCCAACTAGTGCAAGCCGACCATGTTCCCAAACTAAACTCATTTCACTTGCTGGTTCAATTTCTGGTCATTGGGTGGGCATTCGCCAGGTTATTGATTGAGGGGATTTCAGCATTAGTAATGCTGATGAATGTCAACATGAGATGATTAGATTCTCTCTTGTTGAAGACACACGTTTATATGTTGTGAAAGTTACTTGTTACTTACCAGCCAGGTTGTTGTCCTGGTCCTGCTGTATATACGCATAGATTGTTTTATTAAGGAGTTATGAGTGGAAATGAACATTGTGCAACTTCAGTGAACATCCTCACTTCTGACTTCATGGAAGGAAGGTTATTGATGAAGTAGCTGGAAATGTTTTGCTGTAGAATATTACCTGGAAGGTAATTACCTGGTCTCCAGCAACCAGAATCCTCTTCCTGTGTACCACGTATGACTCCAACCAGTGGACAGTCTTTCACAATTCCTATTATTCAATTTTGTCTGCATTGCCTGATGCCACACTCGATCAAATGTTGCTTTGATCCCAAGGGCGATCACTTTCACCTCCCCTCTGATTTCAGTGTTTTGTTTTGTCTGTGTTTGGCCTGTGACTGGTTCCTTTATCCTACTTGTTGAAATCATTGCTGCTGGACTCCTGGAGATCTCCTTGATGTGGCAACAGATTAACCTACCATTGGGAAAGGAGATGTCTGCGGCAGAGGCAGCCAGATCATTTTGCCTAAGTCAATGCTGAGTGTTGCTGCTTCACCGCTAGCTGCAAAGTCCAGCCCCTATGGTATGGCTGGTGGGTGAACCTCCATCCCAGTAGCAGAAGCTCAGAAAACTGCATCGGAAATTTTAAAAATGTTAAAACTGTTTATTTGCGGCACTGAAGGTAACAAAATTAATATTGTTAGTAAGTGCAACACAATTAAAAAAACTTGAAAGCATAAATTCAAACGCATTAGGTTGTAGTTGTTTTATATACAGCATTGTTTTACAGTATTTTGGAAGACAGGAACTGGTATTGGTCATGTTTGGATACTTACTTGTAAAACAATGCTGCAACAGCCAACACTAGAATTGCCATCAAGATAGTCCCTGCGATGGTACCTATAATAATGTTAGTTCGAATCGATCCTACGGTAATAGAAAAGAAACACACTCAATTAATCTGAGTTAAAAACCGAAAGAACTGCGGACGCTGTAAATCAGGAACAAAAACAGAAGTTGCTGGAAAAGCTCAGCAGGTCTGGCAGCATCTGTGAAGAAAAAAATCAGAGTTAACGTTTCGGGTCCAGTAACCCTTTGTCAGAACACAGGAAAACTGCTGTTTTTGTGCAATTAATCTGAGAAATAAGCGAGTAACTTGTTTGAATTTAACCTGTTTATTATCCATATTTTTCCATTTCATGTCAAAATTTTTCACATTGTCACTCCATCCTAAATACTTTATAAACAAATACTTTCAACTAGGACATTTGAGGATACATAAATAAGGTTTCTGCTGATCTTTTGAAACAATTACAGTTCCTGATCAGATGAACTTTGCAAGGACTTACAGGAGGCTTCCATGTGTCGGAAGTTTATTGGATAAATAAATGCTATTTATATACAGTATTTCTTCATTAATCTTCAATGGTACAAAATATAACCAAATATGCCACACAATTCTCAATTTTCGCCATTTAATTATACAAAATGACTACATTAGTAATACTTTGAAAATAACTAAGGATCACACAAAGTATTGATATTCAGAATCTGATCGGTCAATTCAAAATTTTTTCAAATCTCAGATTCGCATGAGCGATTTTCATTTATGTCTCACACTTAGGTAGAGATCTTAGACAACACACATGAACTATATTAATCCTACACAGAAGTCCTAAATAGTCCAATTTCTTTCAATTATGAGTTTTCTGGTAAATTAATATGAAACAACAAAGGCCAATTTAAACAAGCACAAAGGATTCGAAAGTTTCAGGTCCTTGAAGACCACAGCAATTCAGATTATAAGGACAAAAAGTTTCAAAAAATTTGTTTCATCATAATAACATCAAATTCTTAAAAATGTACAAAATCACAAGAAAAAAAAATAAAGAACCCTAAAAACAAAAGTTGTGAAATCTTTTACAACTAAAACTGTTTGACAGAAGTTGTGTACTATGAGCATCAGCTTGAGATTGTAGCTGTGGATAGAATTATCTTCAATAATACAAAACAAAAAAGTGCCAAGTCCACTCCAAACAGCATACTCCACCACACTTTGTTAACTTAATGTTATTACACTTACACAGCTCTGCCACGCAGCTCTGTAACTGCAAAGTTGAAAATAATGAATAGAATCTTATTGGGGCCTGAACGACTTGGGTTATGGTGAGTAACCTGGGAGAATAGCATTACAAGTCCAGAAAGGCCTACCTTGAAGGTGGGAGCAACTTGCTGCATTTTCCAACTAATTTCCAGGCAGAGAGACAAGATTCTTACGAGGCAGTGGTGAGATGCTCATCAAACGGTACTATTGCTTGTTAAAAGCCTCATTCACACCAAGCACCAAATCCCCAGTAACATGCAGCTTCCTATCCTACCATTCAGTGTGAGGAAACTAGATGCTGACAATTCCCAACAGGAAAGTCAGCCCAGGTAGACTACAACTCCAGCTTGTCACTTGAACTCTAAGATGTCATCTTGGGACACCCGGTAACATCTCAGATCACACTCTATGGTCACCTGGCAGCATCTCATAACCCTCATGGTACCTCTTCAATCCACTTACAGGACACTTCCAAATTGGACACTAGCATTGAAATGCTGCTGCAAGGTCACTCTGCACACAAGGGCAGGCAGTCAGTTCACAGTCTGAGCCAAGCTGCGTCTAAGGGCTGCTAGCTTGCTCTTTCAGTATTCAATTACTTAGTGCCTACCTGGACACTCACAGCATCAGTATATTGCCTTGTATTGACGTGCCATGACTTTTATGCACCGATGCTTCAGCCAGAGCCTAAAAGCTCACAATACTGCCAAACTGACTTGCTGTTTAGCATGCACACAGAGCAAGGGCAGCTTGTCATACTTATCAGGAGTGATCAGTCCAAGGAGTGAAAATCTTACTAGGTGATACAGTGCTATGTCAATCTCAGACTTCCAGCATGTGGTAATTCCTTGTATGATAATCACACTGCCTTGATGTTGCAAGGAAATAGCAATGTCTGAAAGGATGTGATGGGTAATCCTCCATCAAGTCAAGGAGAGCTGCTAACAGTCAGAAAGTCTTGGTATTGTCAGTCAAGGGCGGAGTTCACACACAGTACAGGAGCTTGGTCACTGTCAGTTATCCACTTGGCATGATTACAGTCAGCAAATACATCCGACTGCATTTAAATTTGAAACTATTAATTTAAATTATTGTATTTTTAAAATCCAAAGTAAGAACGGTGAAAGAAAGAGACCCACACATATAACAATTATTTTGAAGTTGCCTGACAGCAATTAAAATTCATCATGTCATAAAAGGTTGCTTAAATTGTAATGGACAAGACTTAACTTTCTGTACTAAGTTTAATTCATACTTATTGCGTAAATGCAGTGACTACACAATAATCAATGCATTTCAATGGTGTATCCAGTCAGTGAGATGTCATTAGCATGGACGACGACTTTTGGATATCCTAAATGCACATTTGTCCTTACCTGAAGTTGTTGCTGGATTTGACATTTGCAATGGTGAACATCATCTGCCTCACCATTTGTTGTTAGTAAATTATGGTCCAATGTGCTGCATTTCCAAAGACACTAAAAAATGAGCCAGTTTGTAAATCCACACAATTGACATGGGTAAAGTAATTACATTTCATCATATTAGTTAGATGTAGCATGTGTAAATTATGTAAGTTCCAATACAAATAAGAAGTGGATACAATGTGCAACATATTCTCAATCAAAATGCAGGAGATGTTGCTTTATTAAATTTTCTTTGCCTTTCTGGATTATAACTGTTGTCATTGCGAGGCAATTCTTTCTTTAATGAGTCACCTTCCTCTGGGCAAAATGTAATTACATTCTGATCATGTCTGCTGTTCCAATTAGCAAAGTTATTATGTTAATAAAACCATTTCTTATCTGTCTAGACCAGCTAAGGCCACTGTTATTTCACTGTAATCATTTTATATAATCTGTTAAACAAATGAAAATTAACTTTTTTTTTTGCTTTTCCAACAGCAACTATATCTGGCCATTCCTTGCCAAAATCATCTCAATACTTTTGTGAATAGTCCTTTCTATTACTTTTTGGATTTTACAGCTTAGTTGCCAAATTTAACAATTTAAAAGCTAACAATTTGATTGATTTTTATCAGCTGTACTTAGAATTTAATGATGAATTAGAAGAAAAACCTCCCTCTCTTTTTCCACTCAGTTCAAACATTTCTCCCCAAAGCAAACTTCATCCCTGCTCTGAGTTCAAAAACACGTTTAGTTTCGGCTAATAATGTTATCATCATTGTTATGGTGCATGGTTCCAAACATGGCCCTGTTAAACTCAGTCTCCTCAATCTATCTTACATTCTTTGAGGTTAGTTGGTTAGCTCAGTTAGCTGGGCAGCTAGTTTGTGACGTTGGTGACACCAACCACACAAATTCAATTTCTGTACTGGCTGAAGTTACCATGAAGGTTCTGCCTTTTCAACTTCAACCTTTCTTGAGGCATTACCACAAGTTGTCTCTCTCTCTCTAATGAGATGATGTGAAGGGGCCGGTGCTGGAATGGGGTGGACAGGATCAGAAGTCACTCAACACCAGCTTATAGTTCAACAGGCTTATTTGAAATCACAAGCTTTCAAAATGCTGCTCCTTCGTCAGTCGAAGCGAAGAGAAGCACACTGGCACAGAATTTATAGGCAGAGAGATCAAAAGATGGCACACAAAAGACCCTTGGCCTGCGACTCATACCTGTCGTGTTATTCCAGCCTTTTGGTTTGTCTCCAGCACTACCTTACAGTTAATTCTTTGTAAGTATCTCAATGCCTCAATTAATTGGATTATAGGGCATCTGTTCACTTGCTATTCAGCTGTTGATGCTTTACTCACGCCATCTGATACTTTTGATCACCTGCAGAGACTTGTTATTCAGCCTTTCGACACTCCACTCACACCACCTGTACCATCTTTTGATTTCTCTGCCTATAAATTCTGTGCCTCTTTGCTTCTCTTCCCTCCACCTGACGAAGGAGCAGCACTCCGAAACCTGGTGTCATTTGACTTCTGACCTTCTCTAATGAGACAGCATCCCTATAGTCCTCTGGGATTATGGCAACTTCACTTTTAACAGGCACAGAGTCATGCTGGTCTCTCTTTGTCTGACAGCTTCAGTCAAACTATTCATTTTAAAGAACAAGGTGAGGATTCAGATAAATGGCCTGGCCATTAGAATTGTAAGTGTGTAAATGCCGAGAGATACAATCCACAATTTTTTTTTCTAAGTGAATCTGGTTTTTAACCACAGAATGACGATGACAAAAGCCAACACTTTAAAACATTTTCTTGCCACATTGTCCATACCGTCATTCCACTAATCTCAAAAAGTTAGCACAGCTCCAAATTCTGACAACACAAAGGAACAACTCACAATTTGTGAACTGCTGCCAGTACCCAATGGACACCCGCATCATGTCACTATTTAAGAGGGGAATATCACACACGAGCAAGCAATTGCACAATTTCAAACATGAGCTTTTATATCTAGCCAGCAAGTACAAACAAAATGAATAGATGCTGCATTTCACCCCCAACAATGCAAATCAAATGCTGGCATTGTGAATAATGACTATTTTACATTCCACGATGATCTGCTGCACCCAGCTGGCATCTACTGGAACTGGATGTCAATCACGTCCTATCTGGTTTGTAGTGCACAATGCAGCTGAGCTCTGTCACGGACAAGGAGAGCTTCCTCCTCTCCAACATCCTCATCGTCCTCCTACTTGCGTGCCTTTCCTATTTCCTCATGCATCTATCACATCACCTCACTGCCTCCTCCAATTGTGCAGAGCACAGCACACCAAGATGATGCAGCACACTCTGTCCGGGCTACACTGGAGGACCTCCCAAACCATTTCAAGCAGTAGAATGCCATCTTCAGGAAACCCCATCGTCTGTTCCACCAGATCCTGATCACAGCACGTTCAGTTGCTAAGCTGGTTGACTAGCTAATACATTACATTAAAAAGGAAATGCCTATTGCACTCTGATCTTAGTCCCATTCCACACCCTCGTAAAACATTCAATTTATCACTGAATTCAGCACAGTCCATTGTAATGCTTACATGAGATATTACGAAACCTTGCTCCCCTCACTCCACAGAACCCTTTGGAAGTTTTACAACTGATGGGACACTTTTCTCCAGCAATCATCTCCTTTTAAGTCATTTTTGCTAATGACACTGTTCAATTTGCAAGCACCAATAGCATGGTGCAATTTGCCTTTGATCAGCATTTAAACCTAAGCCTGATCACTCTGCATGTATTGCAAATAGACAATTAAATGATTGTAAATGAATACAGCTATAGTTTGCAAATTCATATTTCATATATTTGTCTACTCAGCAGACGTGAATCGAGCACTTTCTTCCAACAAAGTGACACTGTCTCTGCCCACCCGAGGCACTGGTCCAGCCACTGACCACCACAATGAACTGTGCCTCCAATCATCCTCCCTGCCACCTAAACCTTGACATTATGCCTTAAAGATGTCCATCCTGTTCCCCTACACTTCCCCCTACGGTAACAGTCACAGCCAATAACTCTTACTGCTGTAGCCTACTATGCCCTCTGATTCTGCTCTGCCTACTCCCATACACCTTGAGAGTTTCTGACTGTTACTGCCTTTGTTCCTACCTCTGAGCATACAATCTGCCACCACTCTTTTTGGCAGCGATCTTCCCCATTCTAGAGATCAAAGATCAATGGACAGACGCTCCAGGACTAAATTCATACCGAGACGTCTGACCACTGCGCTTTCCCAAACGATAATACACAGTTCCACTGACTGCTTCTGATGGCCTTTCAGGACTGATCACTGCCCACTCTCTAGACTGAAGACAGACAGACCCTGACCATGAGTGGCCTAAATGGACAATTGAGCATGGCAAGTCCCTGGACTGTGTGTAGACTGGCCCTGTGACTAATGTTACCAGGACCCCCTGATTGATAGTGGCCCCTCCTTGACTGGACTGAGGATTAGCCCCATCCACTTTCTGACATGGTCATCAGTTGAATAAACGTGCAGTGTGTTTGTCACACAGGGAGCTGCCACATGCTGTAGCTGTTGCATTGATGTCTCTATGTGCTATACAACAAGATGTCCCTCCAACTACCCTCCAAACCCTGACAGATCCCTTTGACAGCAGCCTGTCTGTGTTTCTGTGCAAAAGAGCACATCAATAAAACACTACTGGTAGCCTTCAGTTCTGGCTGAAGTCCAAAAGCTCTAACAGGCAAGGTACTAAGAGTGTAAGCAAGTAGCCCTGAGATGCAGCCTAGTCTTATCTGTGAGCTGGGTGTTGGCTCCTGTATACAAAGTGCACTTGCAGCAACAATTCTAGCTTCCAGTGTGCCCTGCAGCTTAAGTTTGTGCTTCAAAGCGTCCTGTGAGTGGACTGAAGAGATATCATGAGGATAGTGAGGGGTTGACAAATGGATGAAATGCACTGGATGTCAATGTAATGAACAAGGGGTGTGTGTACCTGGTGCCCATGCCCTATGATACTATTTGATGCTCAGCAACATCTAGGATAGTCACACTGATCTCCATATCAAGAATTCTCAGTCTCTGTTCGGTGTGGTTGGTAAGATAGGAAGCTGAATATTAACGAGGAGAATTGTGGTATTAATAAAGTATTTAGCAAGCAATAATCTCCCTTAATTGACAACTCACCGCTGCCTAGTGACAAACTTACCTCACCGCTCAGCGTGTACATATGAGATGCAGCAATTTGTTCTCAAAACTTGCCGGATCTCTTGCGCATTTCGCCACAAATCACGCTGGAGTCCACGTCATTCAGGCCCCTACATGTTTCCATCCAAGAAAAAAATGGGACAGATTACCCAAGATCTCAAAGAATGGCACACCAACTCTAAGGGATTGAATGCCCTCTCCCTGCTCCTGTAAATGGGACTGTTACCTGTGAAAAGACATTGTAAAAAGCACACTTGTACGTAGTTTACACAAACCTTGTCCTTCTGCTACTTCCTTTGGTGCATAGATATGGCAGCCAGCACCATCCCAGTCTAGGTCACACATACATTTTCCTTCATGGCTGCAAGTCTGTAAATGAAATAACAAAATGAAAGAGTCAACTACATGATTACATATGTTTTTAACTGCTGATCCAAACTCACTATAAGATTGACAACGAATCAAACATTATTCAGTTAAACAGTTACCATCATGTTAATATAAGCACTAAAGTGGTAGATGAAGTTAATTGTTAAAAAGAAAATATTTGCTTTGAAAATAGGACATTATTACTTTGTACTCTGCATTCAGAAAACTTCCATTTAAAATAGTTACCTTTAATGCAGAGGATTTTAACCCTACACTGTGATTAATATATTGCACTCTAACATTCAATATTGTGAACTCTACTGATTTCAGGAGTAAATTATACGTAAGGACAGCTTTATGGGCCTTCTAATAATATGCTAAAGCAGAGCTTAAGCTAACTCATCAACAGAAATTTGTTCTTATCCATAGATCTGTGTTCTGATTTGCCAAATGTCACATTTTCAAAGCTGAATGAGGCCTGTTAGAACAAATGAGAATCCCTCCTACTCACTGCACAACAAGGACATTGGTCTACCCAACAACCTTGAAAATGGTCATCAAAATGTTGGCGGTTTAGATTTGATTTCATTAATCTGTGCTCTCAAAATGTTATTTTGGAGCAATGCATTTATGAGGTACATAAATGGTACTGATCCTATGTTTGGTTTGATTTTCAGCCCTTGCTGGAGTCTGAATCATGCAATGCAAGTGCTGAAAATTGTCCAGTCAGCTAGCATGCCAGTCCCTTCACCCATCCTGTCAATAGGTCTTTTTTTGTGTGGAGAGAGACTGGGGAGTCCGGATAGCCAAAAGGGCTTATTATTTGCCTGCTTTGATCCAGTAGAGCAAGGCAAATGGGATTTTCCAGTTATCTTTCAGGTCCCTGCAAGCCAAAAGGACTGAACAGCTTCTTGGAGGTCAATTCTTGATTTTCTAGGAAATTTATGAATACAAACTAAAATGTTAGTTTTAATATCTATACAGTAATTTTTTATTCACTTGTCGGATTTCAGCGATGACTATTTTTGCCCATGTTTGGGGTCTTACACACAATGACAGGTGATTAGAACACAGGATCAGTGTGATGATCTCTTAGACAACAAGGTGCAGGGCTGGATGAACACAGCAGGCCAAGCAGCATCATAGGAGCAGAGAGGCTTGCAGGGCTGGATGAACACAGCAGGCCAAGCAGCATCATAGGAGCAGAGAGGCTGACGTTTCGGGCCTAGACCCTTCATCAGA